CCTACAGCCAACACACCATTACATTCTCTGTGTTCCAATTCATTTAATAACTTGTCTTGAAAAGAAAATACTGGAATAATCCAGATATAAAGTTATTTGGGCCAATGGAGGTTCACATTCTCTGTAGAGGAAAAGTTAAGAATTACATGGAGAGACTAAGAGGTAAAGTGCATTAGGTTGATTAGGAGGAGAGAGTTAGTTTCCTTTATAGGCTCAGCGGCCATGGCTCACGGGCCTAGCTGCTTCGTGGCATGTGGGATCTTCCCGGACCTTGGCACGAACCCGTGTCCCCTGCATCAGCAGGCGGACTCTCAACCACTGTGCCACCAGGGAAGCCCTCCTGTATACCTTTTAATACTGACTGTATTAGTTCTCTATTGCTGCTGTAACAAATTATAACAAAGCCAGTGCTTAAAACAAGAGAGAATTTTTCTTCCCAACTGATCCCTATGTGTTGCAGGAAGTAGTTGGAAGTATGGTCATTAACTCCAAGTGTTTTAAAACTATTTGACCATATGCAAAGAGTCAAGTTCCATTGCTTTCCAAACAAGGGAGCCTCACTTTGAAGGGCGTGCTGTTTCTTGCATCTGACTTTTACAGCCTTAAATTCCAAACGTTAGACACTAGCACTCCTTAAACACTTTATCATATTTAGACTTCCTTGCTCTACTGATGAATGACCCTTTCTGCACCAACACTGCCATTTCTTCAGGATTACCATGTTTATCTAGTAATGTCACTTTGCACACTTTATATATATTGTGCACTTATTTCAGAGGTTAACATATTTTTTCTGCAAAAGGCCAGATAATAAATATTCCAGGCATTGTGGGCTATACGGTATCTATCACAACTACTCAACTTTGCCATTGCAGTGTGAAATAAGCCACAGACAATATGTAAATAGATCAGAATGGCTGTGTTCCAATAAAACTTTATTTATAAAAGCAGGCAATGGGCCAGATTTGGCCCATGAGTGGTAGTTTGCCAACCCCTGACATACTTTATAAGAATTAGCAGAAATCAAAAATAAAAGTGCAGATCCCAGACTTCCCTGGTGACCTACTGGTTAGGATTCTGGGCTTTCACTGCGGTGGCCCGGGTTCAATCCCTGGCCGGGGAAGATGCCACAAGCTGTGAAGTGTGGCCAAAAAAAGAAAAAAAAAAATAATGCAGTTCCCAGTAATACAAATAGTAGATTTCAAAAACTAAGTTCAATTAAAACAAAGCTAGAAATCATTAGAAATGCTTAAAAATACACACCAGAGGGGCTTCCCTGGTGGTGCAGTGGTTGAGAGTCCGCCTGCTGATGCAGGGGACACGGGTTTGTGCCCTGGTCCAGGAAGATCCCACATGCCGCAGAGTGGCTGGACCCGTGAGCCATGGCCGCTGAGCCTGCGCATCCAGAGCCTGTGCTCTGCAACGGGAGAGGCCACAACAGTGAGATGCCTGCATACTGAAAAAAAAAAAACACACCAGAAGCCTCTGTCAGGCCTTTAGTAACCTTTATACTGTGTACTCAGTTTTTAAAAAAGGAGCAAAAATGAGGACCTTGCGACAAGCTTAGCCAAGGATGTCTACCAGCCCACTGGCAAGATTTGGCTCAGAAACTGGATGTGTTGTTTAACATTTAAAAACTTTTATTTTTAATTTTCTTCCAAAAGTAATAAGAACCTATGTATAAATAGATTTTTCTCCTCAAGTTCCAGTCGAAGCCAAACAGTAATAGTTTCTCTGTTCATCCAAATGTTAGGTTTAGCCAACTTCCTTTTCTAGTTCAACATAGCAGTTCTTATGATAAATCCATATTTTCCCATAAGCCAGAGAAATGTAGACTCTTTCATTCATGTCATATTGAGAATGGGAAGCTTGTGTTTTTGTTTTGTGTGACTAGCATCCTCTGCTAAGAGGTAGTAAAGGGCAAGTAGAGAGAGAATGCTACTCTTAAGATCGTGTCCTTCAGTTCTCGCTGATTTCAGATGAGTGGAGAGTTTGTAGTGTTAAATTACTCATTCTTCTAGCTAAGTGAAGGGTGACTTCTTAATATACATCTTCTCCCGAAGAAACAGAGCATTTTGTTTGGGGTCAGAGAGTGTCATGCACCAGTATGTGAACTTGGATGAATCTCTTAGCTTCTCCTTGTATCCCTTATATATAAAATTGGGATAGCAATGTATTTTTGTGAATATTAAATAAGCTTTTGAGATCATCCATGAGATGAAGTAAAAGAGGAGGGGAACAAACATTTTTTGGCCACACCTATCATAATGCGTTATATCCGGTATCTTCTTTAACATTTTCACTTATCCTGTGCAGAAAGTATTGCTGTCACCTTTTCTAAAGATAAGGCATTGGAAGAAACAATCACTTGCTCAAGCTTATTCATCTAATAAGTGACAGGACTGGGAATCAAAGAAATGTCCAAACCCTATTAAAAAGAATGTTTGTTTCCTTCCCCAGACTCTGTGTCCTAAAGTGGGAAAGAAAGGCCAGGCATAAAAGTGGGTAATAAGTGCTAACTTTTCTGTTAAGCATTAAATTTTCTTTTGTGACAAACTAATTTATATATTATATAGTAAAAATCTTCTTACGAAAATATTTCTTTAGAAATTCTGGATCATTGCTGTAGAGTTCCAAAAATATGTTTTGAAGTTTGAATGACTTACACAAAAAGTAATATAGACCAACCTATTTTGTGAACTATCGGGAAAGATTAAATATGCTGGGATGATTCATGACCATGTGCTGTGTGTCTTTCTGAAAGGTATAAATCAGCTACATGTGAAGAATGAATTCAAGTTTATAAAGCAGTTATCTTTTATTATTATTTTTTATTTTGGTCCTTTACAGTCTCTTTCTCAAAATGTTTTTAAATGAAGATCTTATTACTATAATATGTCTGTAATGACCTTAAATTATCATATCATAAAAGGTACTCAATTAATAAAGTGAAAAACCTAAAGGCATAAAACAGATCCCACTAGAGTAGATTACAAAAGCTTTCGTATTCCAAGTACAAAAATTCATCCTCATAGCATAATAAAAACATTTTACAAGGTTGGCTTCAATTATTAAGTTGGACTAAGGTATTAAATGCTAACCCTAAGTCATAGTTCTTTGTCACAGGATCAGTACTACTTGGCAAATGCTTATCTCCTGAGTAAGAAACAAATGCTTTTGGGTTTGTGTTATTTTGCAGACTGATCAACTCACTAATGCAGTAGTAGAAAGAACATGAAGTCTTGCATATTGTGATTACATTACTTTGGCTTTTCAACTTAACAGTGGAAGTTTAAAAGTTTCAAAATTAAAAAATTTTTTGTTTTTCCTTTTCAGTGGCTCCACCCACAAGGTTAAGATATAATGTATTATCTCATGATAGTATCCAGATTTCATGGAAGGCTCCGAGAGGGAAATTTGGTGGATACAGACTTCTTGTGACTCCAGCTGCAGGTAAAAACACTCAACTGTATTTTTTAGAGTATTAGGAATTTTTTGCACACAGGGACCTAAAAATGTATTGTGCTAAGTGCTGCTTTAAGCTCATTTGAAAGATTTTGATTTTATTTAAACTTTGGAGCTTGAAATCTTACCCTCTACTCAAGAAAATAATGTTCCCCAAATTTAAAGAATAACTATTGGACTCCCCATAATTTTCCTCAGGCAAACTTTTCAGACTATCACGAATCCTCACTACCTCTGTTTCAACATGTATCAGTTCTTTTGGTCTATTGACAATTAAAAATCACCTCCAAAGTTTTAGCCTAGCCACAGCAATCAGAAGAAAAAGAAATAAAAGTAATCCAAATTGGGAAACAAGAAGTAAAGCTGTCACTGTTTGCAGATGACATGATACTATACATAGAGAATCCTAAAGATGCTACCAGAAAACTACTAGAGCTAATCAATGAATTTGGTGACGTAGCAGGATACAAAAGTAATGCACAGAAATCTCTTGCATTCCTGTACACTCACTAATGATGAAATATCTGAAAGAGAAATTAAGGAAACACTCCCATTTATCACTGCAACAAAAAGAATAAAATAACCTAGGAATAAACCTACCTAAGGAGACAAAAGACCTGTATGCAAAAATTATAAGACACTAATGAAAGAAACTAAAGATGTTACAAACAGATGGACAGATATACCATGTTCTTGGATTGGAAGAATCAACATTGTGAAAATGACTATACTACCCAAAGCAATCTACAGATTCAATGCAATCCCTATCAAATTACCAATGGCATGTTTTACAGAACTAGAACAAAAAAATCTTAAAGTTTATATGGAGACCCAAAAGACCCCAAATAGCCAAAGCAGTCTTTTTTTTTTTAACGTCTTTATTGGAGTATCATTGCTTTACAATGGTGTGTTAGTTTCTGCTTTATAACAAAGTGAATCAGTTATACATATACATATGTTCCCATATCTCTTCCCTTTTGTGTCTGCCTCCCTTTCCCACCCCCCTAGGGGGTCACAAAGCACCGAGCTGATCTCCCTGTGCTATGCGGCTGTTTCCCACTAGCTATCTATTTTATATTTGGTAGTGTATGTATGTCCATGCCACTCTCTCACTTTGTCACAGCTTACCCTTCCCCCTCCCCATATCCTCAAGTCCAGTCTCCAGTAGGTCTGTGCTTTATTCCCATCTTGCCCCTAGGTTCTTCATGACCTTTTTTTTCCCCTTAGATTCCATATATATGTGTTAGCATACGGATTTTGTTTTTCTCTTTCTGACTTACTTCACCCTGTATGACAGACTCTAGGTCCATCCACCTCACTACAAATAACTCAATTTCGTTTCTTTTTATGGCTGAGTAATATTCCATTGTATATATGTGCCACATCTTCTTTATCCATCCATCTGTCGATGGACACTTAGGTTGCTTCCATATCCTGGCTATTGTAAGTAGAGCTGCATGGTACATGACTCTTTTTGAGTTATGGTTTTCTCAGGGTATATGCCCAGAAGTGGGATTGCTGGGTCGTTTGGTAGTTCTATTTGTAGTTTTTCAAGGAACCTCCATACCGTTCTCCATAGTGGCTGTATCAATTTACATTCCCACCAACAGTGCAAGAGGGTTCCCTTTTCTCCACATCCTCTCCAGCATTTATTGTTTGTAGATTTTTTGATGATGGCCATTCTGACCGGTATGAGATGATATCTCATTGTAGTTTTGATTTCCATTTCTCTAATGATTAATGTTGTTGGGCATCCTTTCATGTGTTTGTTGGCAGTCTGTATATCTTCTTTGGAGAAATGTCTATTTAGGTCTTCTGCCCATTTTTGGATTGGGTTGTTTGTTTTTTTGATATTGAGCTGCATGAGCTGCATGTATATTTTGGAGATTAATCCTTTGTCAGTTGCTACATTTGCAAATATTTTCTCCCATTCTGAGGGTTGTCTTTTGGTCTTGTTTATGTTTTCCTTTGCTGTGCAAAAGCTTTCAAGCTTCATCAGGTCCCATTTGTATATTTTTGTTTTTATTTCCATTACTCTAGGAGGTGGGTCAAAAAGGATCTTGCTGTGATTTATGTCAGAGAATGTTCTGCCTATGTTTTCCTCTAAGAGTTTTATGGTTTCTGGCCTTATATTTAGGCCTTTAATCCATTTTGAGTTTATTTTTGTGTATGATGTTAGGGAGTGTTCTAATTTCATTCTTTTACATGTAGCTTTCCAGTTGTCCCAGTACCACTTATTGAAGAGGCTGTCTTTTCTCCATTCTATATTCTTGCCTCCTTTATAAAAGATAAGGTGACCATATGCACCTGGGTTTATCTCTGGGCTTTCTCTCCTGTTCCATTGATCTATATTTGTTTTTGTGGCAGTACCATACTGTCTTGATTACTGTAGCTTTGTAGTATAGTCTGAAGTCAGGGAGCCTGATTCCTCCAGCTCCGTTTTTCCTTTTCAAGAATGCTGTGGCTCTGCAGGGTCTTTTGCATTTCCATACAAATTGTGAAATTTTTTGTTCTAGTTCTGTGAAAAATGCCAGTGGTAGTTTGATAGGGATTGCATTGAATGTGTAGATTGCTTTGGGTAGTAGAGTCATTCTCACAATATTGATTCTTTCAATCCAAGAACATGGTATATCTCTCCATCTATTTGTATAATCTTTCATTTCTTTCATCAGTGTCTTATAATTTTCTGCATGCACGTCTTTTGTCTCCTACGTAGGTTTATTCCTAGATATTTCATTCTTTGTGTTGCAGTGGTAAATGGGAATGTTTTCTAAATTTCACTTTCAGATTTTTCACCATTAGTGTATAGGTATGCTAGAGATTTCCATGCATTAATTTTGTATCCTGCTACTTTACCATATTCATTGATTAGCTCTAGTAGTTTTCTGGTAGCATCTTTAGGATTCTCTGTGTATAGTATCATGTCATCTGCAAACAGTGACAGCTTTACTTCTTTTCCTTTGTGGATTCCTTTTATTTCTTTTTCTTCTCTGATTGCTGTGGCAAAAAATTCCAAAACTATGTTGAATAATAGTGGTGAGTTTGGGCAACCTTGTCTTGTTCCTAATCTTAGTGGAAATGGTTTCAGGTTTTCACCATTGAGGACGATGTTTGCTGTGGGTTTGTCATATATGGCCTTTATTATGTGGAGGAAAGTTCCCTCTATGCCTACTTTCTGCAGGGTTTTTATCATAAATGGGTGTTGAATTTTGTCGAAAGCTTTTTCTGCATCTACTGAGATGATCATATGGTTTCTCTCCTTTAATTTCTTAATATGGTTTCTCTTGAAGAATTCCTGCATTCCTGGGGTAAACCCCACTTGATCATGGTGTATGTGCTGTTGGATTCTGTTTGCTAGTATTTTGTTGAGGATTTTTGCATCTGTGTTCACCAGTGATGTTGGCCTGTAGTTTTCTTTCTTTGTGACATCTTTGTCGGGTTTTGTTATCAGGGTGATGTTGGGTGGCCTCGTAGAATGAGTTTGGAAGTGTTCCTCCCTCTGCTATATTTTGGAAGAGTTTGAGAAGTAAGAGTGTTAGCATTTCTCTAAATGTTTGATAGAATTCGCCTGTGAAGTCATCTGATCCTGGGCTGTTGTTTGTTGGAAGATTTTTTTGTTGTTGTTAACATTTTTATTGGAGTATAATTGCTTTACAGCATTGTGTTAGTTTCTGCTGAATAACAGTGCATCAGCTATATGTGTATATATATATATATATATATATATATATATCCCCATATCCCCTCCTTTTTGCATCTCCCTCGCACCCTCCCTCTCCCACCTCTCTAGGTGGTCACAAAGCCCCAAGCTGATCTCCCTGTGCTATTTTTAATCACAGTTTCAATTTCAGTGCTTGTGATTGGTCTGTTCATATTTTCTGTTTCTTCCTGGTTCAGTCTCAGAAGCTTGTGCATTTGTAAGAATTTGTCCATTTCTTCCAAGTTGTCCATATTATTGGCATATAGTTGCTTGTAGTAATCTCTCATGATCCTTTGTATTTCTGCAGTGTCAGTTGTTACTTCTCCTTTTTCATTTCTAATTCTGTTGATTTGAGTCTTTTCCTTTTTTTTCGTGATGAATCTGGCTAATGGTTTATCAATTTTGTTTATCTTCTCAAAGAACCAGCTTTTAGTTTTATTGATCGTTGCTATCATTTCCTTCATTTCTTTTTCATTTATTTCTTATCTGATCTTTATGATTTCTTTGCTTCGGCTCACTTTGGGTTTTTTTTGTTCCTCTTTCTCCAGTTGCTTTAGGTGTATGGTTAGGTTGTTTATTTGAGATGTTTCTTGTTTCTTGAGGTAGGATTGTATTGCTATAAACTTCCCTCCTAGAACTGCTTTTGCTGCATCCCATAGGTTTTGGGTCATCATGTTTTCATTGTCATTTGTTTCCAGGTATTTTTTGATTTCCTCTTTGATTACTTCAGTGATCTCTTGGTTATTAAGTAGTGTATTGTTTAGCCTCCATGTGCTTTTATTTTTTTACCGATTTTTTCCTGTAACTGATATCTAGTCTCATAGCAGTGTGGTCAGAAAAGATACTTGATATGATTTCAATTTTCTTAAATGTACCAAGGCTTGATTTATGACCCAAGATATGATCTATCATGGAGAATGATCCATGAGCACTTGAGAAGAATGTGTATTCTGTTGTTTTTGGATAGAATGTCCTATAAATATCAATTAAGTCCATCTTGTTTAATGTATCATTTAAAGCTTGTGTTTCCTTATTTATTTTCATTTTGGGTGATCTGTCCATTGGTGAAAGTGGGGTGTTAAAGTCCCCTACTATGATTGTGTTATTGTTGATTTCCCCTTTTATGGCTGTTAGTATTTGCCTTATGTATTGAGGTGCTCCTGTGTTGGGTGCATAAATATTTACAATTTTTATATCTTCTTCTTGGATCGATCCCTTGATCATTATGTAGTGTCCTTCTTTGTCTCTTGTAATAGTCTTTATTTTAAAGTCTATTTTTTCTGATATGAGAATTGCTACTCCAGGTTTCTTTTGATTTACATTTGCATGGAATATCTTTTTCCATCCCCTCACTTTCAGTCTGTATGTGTCCCTAGGTCTGAAGTGGGTCTCTTGAAGACAGTATATATATGGGTCTTGTTTTTGTATCCATTCAGCCAGTCTGTGTCTTTTGGTTGGAGCATTTAATCCATTTACATTTGAGGTAATTATCGATATATATGTTCCTATTCCCATTTTCTTAATTGTTTTGGGTTTTTTATTGTAGGTCTTTTCCTTTTCTTGTGTTTCCTGCCTAGAGAAGTTCCTTTAGTATTTGTTGTAAAGCTGGTTTGGTGGTGCTGAATTCCCTTAGCTTTTGCTTATGTGTAAAGGTTTTAATTTCTCCATCAAATCTGAATGAGATCCTTGCTGGGTAGAGTAGTCTTGGTTGTAGGTTTTTCTCCTTCATCACTTTAAATATTTATTTTTATTTTTATTTTTTGCGGTACATGGGCCTCTCACTGTTGTGGCCTCTCCCGTTGCGAAGCACAGGCTCCGGATGCGCAGGCTCAGTGGCCATGGCTCACAGGCCCAGCCGCTCCACGGCATGTGGGATCTTCCCAGACCAGGGCACGAACCCATGTCCCCTGCATCGGCAGGCGGACTCTCAAACACTGCGCCACCAGGGAAGCCCTCACACCAGTCAGAATGGCCATCATCAAAAAATCTATAAACAGTAAATGCTGGAGAAGGTGTGGAGAAAAGGGAACCCTCTTGCACTGTTGGTGGGAATGTAAATTGATACAGCCACTATGGAGAACAGTATGGAGGTTCCTCAAAAAACTAAAAATAGAACTACCATACAACCCAGCAATCCCACTACTGGGCATATACCCTGAGAAAACCATAATTCAAAAAGAGTCATGTACCACATGTTCTTTGCAGCTGTATTTACAATAGCCGGGACATGGAAGCAACCTAAGTGTCCATCGACAGATGAATGGATAAAGAAGATGTGGCACATATATACAATAGAATGTTACTCAGCCATAAAAAGAAACAAAATTGAGTTATTTGTAGTGAGGTGGATGGACCTAGAGTCTGTCATACAGGGTGAAGTAAGTCAGAGAGAGAAAAACAAATACCGTATGCTAACACATATATATGGAATCTAAAAAAAAAAAAGGTCATCAAGAGCCTAGCAGGACAGGAATAAAGATGCAGACCTACTAGAGAATGGACTTGAGGACACGGGGAGGCAGAAGGGTAAGCTGGGACGAAGTGAGAGAGTGGCATGGACATATATACACTACCAAATGTAAAACCGATAGCTAGTGGGAAGCAGTTGCATAGCACAGGGAGATCAGCTCGGTGCTTTGTGACCACCTAGAGGGGTGGGATAGAGAGGGTGGGAGGGAGGGAGACACAGGAGGGAAGAGACATGGGGATACATGTATATGTATAGCTGATTCACTTCATTATAAAGCAGAAACTAACACACCATTGTAAAGCAATTATACTCCAATAAAGATGTTAAAAAGAAAAGCAACAGTGTTATGATGAAAGGTATTTGCAAATGTGTTTTTATCTAATTTAGACAACTGTTTGTCTAATGCAAAGAGTATAACTGAAAGTGAGAATGAAAAGTGTACTAAAATTAGTATTATGTAATAGCATTATACATATTTTTGAATGTCTTCACCTTTAAAATCTTGATTTCTGGTTAATAAAATTTCTTAATGTACACAGTTAAGCCACTTCTTAGAACTGATTTATCTTTCTGTTTTATTATAGGTGGAAAAACCAATCAATTGAATCTCCAGAACACTGCAACTAAAGCGATTATTCAAGGTCTTATGCCAGACCAGAATTACACAGTTCAAATTATTGCATACAATAAAGACAAAGAAAGCAAGCCAGCCCAAGGTCAATTCAGAAGTATGTATTTACAGATCATAAAGTACTGCCATGGGACTCTATCCCAGCTCTGAGTTTGAGTCTGTGGTAAATATTGTATCGATAACAGGTTAAAATCCTAGATTGTTTAGATTTGAAAAGATCTTAAAAGACATTTATTATAATCTTCTGTGAGTTCCTTTTATCTCTAATATTCTCTGTCCCTTCCTTTACCCATTTCATGGTGCTCCTACTTATCCTTTAAAAAGGTTTTAGTTCTTAAATGCTCTCCCTGACACTGTCCACTGAGCCTTATGCAGACCTCTCATGTACCCAGCACATAATAGCTGCTCAATAAATACTTTCAGGATTCTGTGAAGGCAGGTGCTCTCTCTGCCCCTGTAATGGTCTAGGAAGAGAATGGATGGGAGTGTCTTCATATTTGAGCCAGTTCTCAAATAGTAAGTTGGGCAAATACTTGACATACAGAGACATTCTAAGCAGGAGAGAAAGCTCTGAGGCAGCCCCATCCACGTCTGTGCTGTTCCATTAGAAAGCTTTTCCTTATGTTGAATTTAAAAGTTGTCCACAAAGACCCTGATTCTTTTGCCTTTCAGGAAATATTCATTCATTCACTCATTCTTTTTTTTTTCACTTAACAAGTGTATATTGCATGGCTACTAAGTGTGAGGCCCTGTACTAGGCCCTGGGAACATGACAAATCCCTGCCCCCATGGACCTTATATTCTAGTGACCAGAGACTATAGCAACTCCCTCTTCCTGGAGGTGACCTATCTAATTAGAGGGCAGAGTTTTGTGTATCAGGAATACAAACAGAAGAGGTCTGTCCTGATTAACTTTCTGTGTTACTTCATTGTTAAGGTAGGCTCTTTAAAAAACCCAACTCATTATTAAGGACAATTTTAAACATAACTTAAAAAATCAGCAGATTCATAAAATAAACCCCTAAATATCCATCAGTTGCTTCAACAATTAACCATTCATGGTCACTCTTGTTTCATTTATACCCCCATACTCCCCTCTCTCATATTATTTTGAAGTAAATCCTACACATCATTTCAAAAAGCAATAGCTTTTTAAAGGGTTAATCCACAAATCGGGAGGCTGTGGGTTCTAGAACTCTGTATACAGCAATGTTCTATCTGGATTTTTCCATCCCTCCCTTCCTTTTTTTTTTTTTTTTTTTTTTTTTTTGCGGTACGCGGGCCTCTCACTGGTGTGGCCTGTCCCGTTGCGGAGCACAGGCTCCAGACGTGCAGGCTCAGCGGCCACAGCTCACGGGCCCAGCCGCTCCGCAGCATGTGGGATCTTCCCGGACCGGGGCACGAACCCATGTCCCCTCCCTTCGTTTTTATCTTTCTCTTCTAGGTAATGTTTTACGAGGCACATTTTGTGATTTTTCTTAAATTAAAAAAAAAAAACTTTGTTAACCCGCTACCTCTTGAAACTTCTGAACAAAGAAACATTTGGTGAATCCACCTGTCAGCAGGACATACAGATGTTTTAAATGCTACATTCTTTTGAGATTCACAGTGTCTGGAAGCTCTGGGAAAGGGTTTTATGTTATTTTCAATATAAATCAGCCTTCTGTCTCATTTTATTGGCACTGTGCTTCAGTTTCTGGCCTCTGACATTCCTACATGAGTAAAGGAAATAACTTTCCTTAAAGTTTGTGAGAAGCAGTAAAAAGGACAAGGAGAAACAATTCATTTCACTTTAGTCTTATGCTTTTGTGCGACTGATTACTGCAAATATTCCACTGACTAGCAGCATAAGAATCACAGGTAGCCTTAAAACTTTGCCAAGTGCTATTTACTCAAAACATTTCAAAGGAAATGCATTTGTTTTCAGTTTGCTTAGCTCTGCTGACATAATCTTAGTGAAACAGTCCAACTTGTTAGTTAGATAAATTATATGGACGCATATATATTTTTTAGCTATGTTATTTTTATTGGCAGGATAGAGGTCTTAGTTCTTCCCAAATAACAATTTATAAGAATGAAATTAAAGTAACTTTGTTTGGATGGTTTCCTTTTCCATTTTGCATTTCAGTTATGTTTTTGCTCCCTGTGAGATGGAGCTAAAGCCTGTTCTCCCCTCCCTGGAAACCTTTCATGCTTGGATCCAGGAAAATAATGATCTAGACAAATCCTGTGGATATAGGTTTGCAGTTAGCGTGGGATTTGAATTTTTCAAAAGTCCGTCTTCTACACAGGGAAACATAAGGAACAATCTTTGGATTTTGAAGACAGAAAGGCATGTCTGAACTGTTATGATTCCAAATCTGGTGTGTGTATTTAACCAAGCAACTTAACTTCTAGCCTCAGTTTCCTTATGGGCAAATGGGATGATGGTTTGTGCCTATTATTGTGTGGATTAACTCACGTCAGCACACAGTAGGGGCATGGTTGCTTTTGTTGTTATGATTAATACCACTTTACTCTTGACAGTCTGTTTTCTAATTGATTTTGCCTCTTGCGTGAGGACAGAAGCTTGGCGTGACCCGTGTTACATCTTGTATGTGACCTAGTGTCCCAATTCAAAGTGACTGTTTCTTTTTTGTTTGTTTGTTTGTTTGTTTTTCTTGTTCATCCGTAGAATGGATTTTGACCCTATTTTGGCAAACTTTATTTTTGGCCACAATTTTTCTCTTTGGAACTATATTTTGCTAATCTCTGCCTGCAAAATCTTGCTGATTTTTTAGAGTTTGGCCCAAATGTCACCTTCCTGGTGAAGTTTCCCAGAGTCTCCACCTCTGCAATTATTCTTTCCCAGATCTATTTCTACTTTTAGCACAACTTTCCTCACACTAGAGTTGCAGACTTATTTTCTTTTACAGAATGAAAGCAATTTGAGGCCATGGTCTATGTGTGTGGGGGGGTTGAACATATAGATTTGGAAATTATCCACGGAAGGGTGAGAATTAAAACTGTGGGATGATAAAATTGTAGGCGGGGTGTACAGGGATGCAAGGCAAATGTAGTTTATGACTGTGTTTCAGGAATGGAAGCAGAAAAATGATCCAAAGAATGAGAATGTAAAGGAGGGGTCAGAGGAATATGAGAACACCCAGGATAATGCGTTTTTAAAAACTGAGAAAGAAAAGAAATTAAAGGAAGAGGTGTTCCAAAGTGGCCACGCCTTATAAAGAAGTCAGAAGATGTGGTCTAAAAAATGGATTTAGAAAATGAGAAGATCAGTGGAAATAGCAGGATTAAGGCATCTTGTATTTATTATTATTTTTAATCATGGAATTTATTCTCTAAGTACCAGAAAGCCAAGGAACGTTTCTATAAAGGAATCATAGAACTAGAGCAACCCGGCCTTGGCAGATGGCAAGTCTCAAACCCTTTTAGCAAAGGGGTGGAAGCCAGTAAAAAGAAGTGGAAGAGGAGGAAGAGATGATAAAGACAGGATTCATGGAATAATACCCTAAGAAGGCAAGAAGGGTGGTTCAAAGGAAATCATTGCTTACCCTACAGAGCCAACCCTTCAGTAAGTTAGCAGATTTCCATGAAGTGAATGCAATAATTAAATGAAATATTTTGCCATGGGATCACTTCCTCCTTTTCACAGGGTATTTTATTTGTGCAGATACCACTGCCATTTAGTGATGACTCAGGACAACTTCAGGTGCCAAGCAATAGCAGGGAAGCTGCTGTGGAGTGAAAAGTAAAGCTATTGGAGTACATAGGAATGAATGTATTAAAGGACCGAGGGTCATTCTGGGTCCCTGGATATTTCATAAGGAAAGTAATAAAGAAATACTACTATTTATTAGTAGGGAAACTTTTTTTTTAAGTTTAAAAGGAAATTATTATGGAGTTCCCTATCTTCTATGGCAGATAGACCAACTCCAAATGAGTATATTCATGGCTAAGATCTTTCTAGAACAGGGGCCAGCTCACAGGCCTTCCAGAAATCTGAAGACGTGGCTTGAATCCTGTGCCAACACTTTCTGGTTTTATGAGATAAGTCTTAGCTCCTTAGCCTGTTGGTCCTTCATTCCCTCATGTCTGAAATGGGGCTAATTTTGTGATTTTATAACAATTATGAAGGATTAAATTTATTTGATACATCTGCCCATAGTGAATAACTCTACCAAAGTAATTCTGTGATTTCCACACATTCCCATGACAAAATTGAAAAAAATAGCAGCTCCAATCTTCTGAAATGAGATTCTACCATGGAGCTAATTTCTACTTAAAACTTTCAATACTTGCAAGGGTTTTAGTAAAAATTCATTGAATATTTTCTTTTAGACTTTAACCTAACATGTTGCTGTATTTTTACTTTTTTTTCCAGTTAAAGATTTAGAAAAAAGAAAGGAACCAAAACCCAGAGTCAAGGTTTTGGACAAAGGAAATGAGAATAAACCATCTGTACCAGAAGAAGGTCAGATTTTTTTTTTTTTATTTGCTTATTTGGGGGATTGAGTTGTCTTAAGAACACAGGCAATACATACATCCTTGGCCTTTGGTCCCATCAGAGGAGTACAGATCTAATATGAAAATCTCCCTCAGCCCCACCTCATTCCCTCCTTCCATCCTCACACATAGTAACTGTCAACACTTCCCTCTCCCTTACTTTTCCATATTTAATATATCACTGAGTTCTAGTGAGTTTATTTTCTATTGAAATAATGACAGAATCTGTTCATTTCTTTCCATGTCTATTGCCAATACTGCGCTAAGCTCCCGTTTCTTTCCTGGTGTGCAGTATTATTTAGCAAGATCTCAATTTGTTCTCTGCCCTGAAGTTAGAGTGATCTTTGCAAAACAAATCTGACTCTATGCTCCATGTACCACCCCTCCGACCCCCGCACATCTTAAAACCCCTTCAATGGCTGTCCACTGCTCTTAGGATGGAGGCCAGATCCTTATCAAGACTTTCAAGGCCCCCCCATAGTCTTGTGACCCTACCAACCTTTCTTCCTTCTTCATCTCGCTGTTTAATTTTAAAACTTTACGAACACATTGCAAAAACTACATACTTCTAAAAATGTAATTGCAGGGTTAAAGGATATGCAAATTTTACAATTTTGATAGTCTACCAAACTGACACAATTTTTTCAATGATTTATTCTTAAAACGTA